AATTATTAAATTGCATTAGTTTAACGTTTTTATTTTAAAAAAGAGTGGAAGTTTTTAACATTATCTATCAAAAATAATACGGTCTCCTAAAAGACATGACTTGTCTAAGTAAGTACATACACAAATAATAAGTATAATTAGCTACGTGCATAAATTAAATAAATAAAAAGTCATGTATAATCGATATTAAAAAAATCACTATTTTTATGTTAGCATCAACAAAAAAGTTATTTGGCAATTGCTTTAGCATCTCCTTCTCTAAGACCGTCTTCAATAACAACGCTTATTCCAACAACACCAGCAAGAAAAATGTTCAATGATTATTTTTACTACTTTGATTAAATCAATAAATAAGAAAAAAAAATTCATATAGAAAAAATAGAAAATTGTCCACTATTTCAGTAATAATTTGTTTCATATCATGCATATTTCTCGTGAATTTGAAAAATCGTGTTCTATAACACAGATTTTCACTAATACATTATGAAAAAAATAAAAAAATCAATAGTGAATCAAAGGATCGAAATTTCAACGGAATTACAATAACCTTGGGTTAGAGCTTTTATACATGTTAAAAAATTTACTAAATATATAGATGTGAACCCAATAGCATATGCCATACGGGTTGTGAATAGGTGGCAAAAACAGCAATTCATAAATTTAAAATCTTGAATTTGATTGTAAATATAAATAATATGGTCTTATGAATAAATTACATTATTAAATTCAATAAAAATACAAAAATTATATATATATTTATTTATTTATTTATTTATTTTTATTTCTTGAAATGTGGATCAATTGATATCATGTCTAAGGTTAGGGAGATTTGAGATCCAACAACCTAAGTATGGGGTCGATGGGTCAGTTGGACCTTTCATTAATGTCCTGTCTCTTTATTACATAAGTGCTATTCCAATACATGATTGACTCTTTTCTTTATTCGGTAGATTTGAAATCATTATTTTCGTTATATCTAAATTATAAGGTCAAAAACTAATAATACAATCAGGAACGGAATCAAAATTTAAAGTTTATAATTTTTTAATTAAAATATTTTAAAATTATTATATAATAATTTATACATAGTTGATGAATTTTTATAATAAATATATAGTTTGATTCATAATTATTAAATTTAATCTAATTTGCGATTCAAATCCTAACTCCGCTTCTGAATATAACTAATTCTTCTCTCTGCCTAAACATCACATGCAAACTTGTTTCTTGTCTACTCCGTTTAATTAGGGATAAGAACTTCTTGACAGATGGAAATTAATCTCTCACAACTAATTAATATAAACTTTATTTAGAAGATAATGTTAATATAGCATTTTTGGTTGGAATGTCCTACATTTAAAAAAAAAAATGTATTTGTGAGTTTTTCAAGAATTTGTAAATTACTAATTATTTTATTATTTAATTACTTATGTATTGTGTTAAATTTATATTATTATCCATATTTTTGGTTAATATAGTTCTGAAACTAGACAACATAATACATTTCTTATATATTTTGATTAAAAAAACAAAGTTAAATTAATTAAATATTAAATTTATTGAATCGTGTATTATTGGAATCAAAATAAAATGAAAATATTAATAATTAAGGAATTAAAATTGCTATTACACCAAGAATATGATTGTAGACAATAAAATTTCGCGTTGAGAAAATAATAATTAAGAACGGAAAATTATGCAACAATCGTTTTATTGATTTAAGTGCGAGTGTTACAATCTCTATAATTCCTCTGAATTCCCCTTTTCAAATATAATTCAAGGGCTCTTGAGCTTGATCTTGAACTTGGACTTGGATTTGATCTTGATCTTGGACTTGATCTTGATCTTGAACTTTATCTTGATCTTGACTCTCTAGTTGAATTCAAGGGCTTGGAGCTTGATCTTGAATCTATTGGTCTTGATCTTGATCGTTCTTGAACTTGATCTTGACTTCTTCAAATCTTAAACTTGAATTCTTGAATTCTTGAACTTGTAGAGAAATTGCGGCTTTTGATCCACGAGCTTTCTCTAGCTTCTTGTTCGAATTCTTGGTTCTCTATTCTGAGTTATGAGGATCCCTATTTATAGTTTTAAAATAGAGGAGTTGTGATTAGAAGAGAACTCCCTTCGGCCAATTAGATTTAAGTGACATGGCATATGATATTTATGGAACGGGCTTTAAGTAAATTCATATTTATTGAATTTAAATATTAAATCAATTATATTAATCCATAATATTTATTTGGACTAATAAATTCATGAATTTAATATAATCTGAATTATTTAATAAATTTATATTTAAATAAATTTTAAATGATTACAAATGCCCCCTACTTCAAGTTTTGTCAAAATAATTTATGTTTTGGAGACTAGGCTTGAAGTATTGACTTATTATTATAATAATTATCATAATATTATGAGGAAGTATTGACTCAATATCATAATATTATTATTATAATATCAAAATAATCTCTACGTGTAGGGAGAACATCATTAACCGTCACATCAGACATGTTAAGAGTGGGCTTTAATAAAAGTTTGGAGTTTATCCTTTAGTCCTAATGACCAAAGTCAACTAGGAATCAAATGGCTCACTAGTTTTTTTTAGTCACAAACAATTTCCAGTAGTCATACACGTCGAATGCTTTGTATAATTTATGTTGAAATCAGGAACGGTTCTTAGCACTATTTGTAGTAGGATAAAACTACCGCCTCAAATCTGATGCCATTCAAGTTCAAATTGTAGTTGAATTAAGAATCGTAGTTCCACTCAATTTCAAATTCATGTACTTTTTGTTTGTCCTAGCCAAAAAGGAATTGTAATTGAACTAGGAGAAGGATTTTATTTTCACCACATGACATCTATGAATAGACACATTGTATCCACAATTTTGCCTTCAATTACAGATTGTGAGCTACGAGCCTACGACGAAAGGGGCATAATTCAAGGTAATTTTCCTCCCTTTTTTGATTTTCGGCACTTTTTTTTACAGCTTGACATGTCTGTCGTAGAAAATTCATATCTCATTGTAGAAAAATCAAAATCATGAACGGTTTGATTTTCCAGAAACTAGACTTCTCGATCTCTAACATATCCAAAATTCAGAATTTAATACATTCCAAATCTTTTTTGATGATTTTTTGAAGTTAGCTCTGGATTCTGTCATGCTGAAAATTTCAGAGTTGTGCCGCTTTACTAAAACTCTTGTATCTTGATGTAGGAACGACAAAATCACAAGCCGCTTGATTATTTCAAATCTAGATTCAAAGGTCTACAACATATCCAAAATTCAAGATTTAATACCTTCAGAGTCTTTCTAGGTGATTTTTCGAAGTTAACTTTAAATTCTGTCATACAACTGATATTCTTAAGACGAAAGAGGATAGATACACATCCCCGCCCTAAGAAAGGTAACTTTATGGTATTCTTAAGGCAAAAGAGGATAGCTACACATCCCCGCCCTAAGAAAGGTAATTTATGGTATTCTTAAGGCGAAAACGGATAGATATAAATCTCCGCCCTAAGAAAGGTAATTTATAGTATTTTTAAGGCGAAAGCGGATAGATACAAATCCCCGCCCTAAGAAAGGTAATTTATGGTATTCTTATGGCGAAAGCGGATAGATATAAATCCCCGCCCTAAGAAAGGTAATTTATGGTATTCTTAAGGCGAAAGCGGATAGATACAAATCCCCGCCCTAAGAAAGGTAACTTTACGGTATTCATAAGGCGAAAGCGGATAGATATAAATTCCCGCCCTAAGAAAGGTAATTTATGGTATTCTTAAGGCGAAAGCGGATAGATACAAATCCCCGCCCTAAGAAAAATAATTTATGGTATTCTTAAGGCAAAAGCGGATAGATACAAATCTCCGCCCTAAGAAATGTAATTTATGGTATTCTTAAAGCGAAAGCAGATAGATACACATCTCCGCCATAAGAAAGGTAACTTTATGGTATTCTTAAGGCGAAAGCGGATAGATACAAATCCCTGCCCTAAGAAAGGTAATTTATGATATTCTTAAGGCGAAAGCGGATAGATGCACATCCCAGCCTAAGAAAGGTAATTTATGTTGTCAAGACTCGAAAACTTCAACTTGTAGACTTAAAGAATTTGAAGACCTCAACTTGCAGACTTGAAGAATTTTAAGACCTCAACTTGCAGACTTAAAGAATTTTAAGACTTAAAGAATTTGAAAACTTTAATTCACATACTTGGAAGATTTAAAGATTTCAGTTTGCATACTCGGAAGATTTGAAGACTTAAACTTGTATACTTGGGGGATTCGAAGACTTCAACTTGTATACTTGGCTGAATTTAAAGAAACTTCAAGCATGTTGTTAACGAAACTCATATTTTATAAGGGTTTTCCCCTATCTATTGACCAATCAATACTTCGTACAAATCTAAAGTTTGATGAGACAAAATAAAACAAAATACTTATCGCTTTGACTGTAATGTGACAGATTAAGTGGGAGCATGTGGTTTTTGGACACTCATGCAACTGAACTTAGGATATATTCTAAGCGCCTATGTACCTCAGTGTAGAGGATCAAGTCACAACGTAGTTCTGGGGGATTGCGTGATTTTTTTTGTTTTTTTGTGCCATACACAGTTTATATTCTTGCGGACCAGGAGTGACATGCAATTTAGGCTCGTATCTTAAGGAGCATCATTTTACTTCAAGGGTAGTACCTCTTTAGGAATTTTGCATTAATAGGACCGTTCCTTACGCCATATGCATCAACAAGCTTGTGAGCACCATGTGAATATGCTTCTTGTACGACATATGGTCCATCCCACTTTGAGGTAAATTTGCCCCCAGACTTGTGCGAAGTAATGATGGGTATTCTTACCGCGAGAACTTGGTCTCCAACTTGGAAGCATCTCAAGCGAACCTTCTTATTGAAAGCACGAGATAAACGAGCTTGATAACATTCAAGGTTTTGTTGGGCTTCTAGCCTCTTTTCGTCAAGTGCATCTAACTCAGCAAGACGCAGTTAAGCATTTTCTTCTTCAGTGATCCCTTCTTGAATAACAAGTCTTAAGGAAGGTATTTGACGCTCGAGTGGTAGGACTGCCTCAATACCAAAAGTGAGTGAATATGGTGTTGCTTGAGTTGGAGTGCGGCACGTCGTCCTAAATGCCCATAAAGCTTCTTCCATTCTTTCATGCCAATCCCGTTTGGACTTGGAGACAACTTTCTTCAGAAGGTTGCATAGAGTCTTATTGAATGCTTCAGCGAGACCATTGGCGGCAGCATGATACATAGAAAATTTACGCTGCTTAAAACCAAAGAGATCACAAATTTTGTTCATTAACTTGTTATCAAATGGCTTACCATTATTTGTTATTATGTAGCGAGGGATGCCAAAGCGATAAATGATATTCACTCGGATAAAATTTGCAACATTCTCTTTCTTCACTTCTTTAAGAGCGACAACTTCAGAGCATTTTGAGAAGTAATATGTTGCAGCCAAGATGTACAAGTGTCCACCAGAAGATTTTGGTAGTGGTCCCACAACATCCAATCCCCAAGTGTCAAATGGCCAAGATGCAATAGTTGGGTGCAATACTTCGGGCGACTGATGTGAAATTCATAAGAAATTGACAAGCATCTCACCTCCGAGCATAATATAAGCAATCATTCACCATGGTTGGCCAATAATACCCCATCATCTTTATGTTAAATTGGAGTTTCAGTCCAGATTGATGTGATCCACATACTCCCGAATGTGTTTCTTGCAAAGCTTGAATTGATTCTTCCTCTCCCAAACATCATAATAGTACACCCTCAAATGATCTTCTATATAATGTGTCCTTATAGTAAAGGAAGCGAGGTGCACGACGACGAATATCATTCCTTCTCCTTGGATCTTCTGGAAGTATCCCATGACACATGTAGTCAATAATGGGTTGTCTCCACTCTTCCTTCGCGGCTTCAGAAACGGCGACGAGATGATTAAGCTTATTTTCTATACATACTTTCTCATTTGGCGGTGGTACTATCTATTTTTGACAAATATTCACTTGTGTTTGATCAAGAAGGGTTAGCGTTGAAGCTAGAGCAGCCAATGCATCAATTTTCTTATTCTTCGTTCTACGCACATGTTGAAGGGTTACATCTCCAAGCCATCCTATCAACTTTTGAGCATAATCATGATAAGAACGCAATTCGAGCTTCTTCACCTCATAATTTCCCAAGAGTTGGTTGATCACCGACTGAGAGTCACCAAAGACTTATAAGTTTAATTGCTTCATGTCAATGGCCAGCTCAAGTCCAAGTATCAACGCTTGGTATTCAACAACATTATTGGAGCAATATTGCTTCAAAGTAAAGGAGAATGGTAAGATCTCTTCTTGTGAAGTGATGAACACTACGCTAGCACTAGCTCCGCCACATTGTGCAGCTCCATCAAAGTACATTTTCCAAGGAGGTTAAGCTTCAATTAACATCGTATCTTCATCAGAAAGCTCATCAGTTAACTCCCAATCATTTGGTATCGGATGGTCTGCCAAGAAACCCACCAATGTTTGTCCTTTCACAGCTTTTTAAGGAATGTACATGATCTCAAACTGTTGGAATTGGAGGTACCATCCTGCTAGTCGGTCACTAAGGATAGGTTTCGACATAACAAACTTGATGGGATTTTCTCTAGAAATAAGACGAACAACATGAGCTTGAAAATAATGTTTCATCTTTTGAATTGACAAAACTAGTGCTAAGCACAATTTTTCAATTGGCGAATAGTTCAGCTCATTTGGTGTCATCGTTCTACTCAAGTAGTAAAGAGAGTTTTCTCTGCCTTCAGTATTCTCTTGAGCTAACAGGGCTCCTATGGACCTTTCCTGTGCCACAATGTAGAGTATCAATGGTTTTCCAGGTATAGGGGCTGCCAAAACTGGAGGTTTCGCTAGATACGACTTGATACTTTTAAAGGCATCGCTACATGTTTCGTCCCAATTAAAATGAGCACCTTTCTTTATGAGATGACTGAATAGTTGGCACGTCCTGCTAGATTTGAGAAGAACCTCCTCAAGTAGTCTAGCTTTCCTTGGAGACTTTTTAACTTATGAATATTTCGAGGCTCAGGCATATTCGATATTCCATCAACTTTGGCTTGATCTATTCAATTCCTTGATGTCTCACAATGAAGCCAAGGAACTTTCCAAAGTAACTCCGAAGGCACACTTCAATGGATTCATCCTTAGTTGATATCTTCGAAGCAGCTCAAACACCATTCTTAAGTCTTTCAAATGACCACTTATCTATCTTGACTTTACCACAAGGTCATCCACATAACATTCAACATTTTTATAGAGCAAATCATCAAATATATTTTGCATAGCCCTTTGATATGTAGCACCAGCATTCTTCAAACCGAAAGACATCATTTTGTAGCAATAAATACCTTTAGGCGTGTGAAATAAGGTGAGTTCTTCATCCATTGGTGTCATGCGGATTTGATTACAGCCAGAAGAACTGTCCATGAATGACATCGACTTATAACCAGTGGTGGCATCAATCATTAGCTCAGTAATGAGAATGGGAACTCATCTTTAGGACATGCATTATTTAGATCCCTAAAGTCAACACAAACTCAAATTTGGCCATTATTCTTCCTTATAGGAACAATACTTGAAATCCATGTAGGATATTTAACTTCACGAATGAATCCTGCCTCGATGAGTTTGTTGACTTCATTCTCTATCAATGGAACCAAGTCTGGCCTAAAACGTCTTTGGGGTTGCTTAACAGAAAGAGCACTATTTTTTACTGCCAACTGATAGACTGCTACTTTAGGATTCAAGCCAGACATTTCTTAATAACTCCAAGCGAAGACATCCCTATATTCTTTGAGTATATAAGTGATTTCTTCATCAACTTCTAGAAAGGCACTCAAGTAAGTAGGCATTGTGTCTTTATCAGTGCCAAGGTTAACTTCTTTGAAGGGATCTATTGTGGTCTTCACTCCTTCTTCAAGTTCTGGTGGAACATCTTCAGCATCTTTCTCTTCTAGAGGGTCATTGTCATTTATAGATGTATGACAACACCAGACAATATCTTCTAACGCTTCATCAATCTTCATTTGAGGCAAAGAATCGTGCTCATTCTGGATTAATATGATATGATAAACCTATATTTTCTTCATCTTCCTCGCGCTCCTTGGTGTAAACCACAGTATGAGCCTTTGCCTTGAGTTCATCTTTACACGAAACCATAAGTTTCACTCGTCGCATCATTCTAGAAGGAATCAAACTTTTGAAATCCTTTTGGATTATAGATGAAGCCAGCGTTGTCACTTTTAGATAACTTCTCCGATGCTTATTGTTTCTCTTCTTTAATGGACCTAATCTCTCGAACACAGAAGTTCTTACAGTCGATTCTCCAAGTCGATAAAAAATAGAAGGATTTCTATTGGGAGCAGTGACATCATCTTTAAAAGTTATATGATTATTGTTTGCTCTTCTTATGGAAATGCAAACTGGCGGTGGTTGGTTATAGCCTAGGTCTTCACGTGCTTGCCTGGTTTTATCAATTGATGGGAGTTTCCCTAACATTGATGGCTCATTAGGGTTATATCCAACTTCGCAAATAACTTGTAAGCATTAGGATCAAAACCTTCTCCCGTGCGTTTTGTAGGAGTGCCACATCTCGCACTTGATTTTGAGCGATTGTCTTTCCTGGCATCTTTGAAGGCAAGTTTATTGCATCAATCCGTCTGATAAGAAGAGTTAGTCCTCTTAATGCATCTTCTTGAAGGTTAGATGATTTCACATCTTCTTTCTTTACTTTTGGAACATAGCGAAGTCCAGAAGTCAAATTCTTCTTTGAAGACATGGTTTTCCCTTCATTGAGATTGGGACAAAATTCTTTAGTGTCAATTTTTGCCTTTCCGATAGCCGTATCGATTTTTTTTCTTGTGATCTTGTCAGACTTGGTTGATTTGACATCATTAGATTTTGTCCCTTTAACAACATAACTCTTCAAATAGAATTTTGCATCAGCAAAGTGCGTCTCAACTTCGATGAAAGGATTATCATCTGCAACTACTATCTTTCTTTCAATCCCGTCTTCAAGATACTTCAAACATTGATAGTAAGAAAATGATACAATTCTATACTCGTGTACCTAAGGCCTGGCAAGTAATATAATGTATGAAGTCTTTGCATCGATCACGTGCATCCATGCACTTGATCGCAAATCTTCCATGTGGATTTCTAATTTAATGGAGCCTATAGACCTCTGTTCTCCTTGATTGAATCCTTGTATCAACAAACGACTTTCACTAAGTTCTTCGGTTGTGATGCCGAGTTCCTTCAATGTGTGGATAGACAAATTGTTGATTCTAGATTCTGTTGAAACCCAATTTTGACCCTCCCCGATAATCATTATTTTTCGAGTTTCTTAAATCCAAACATTTGAAATAATTGACTCTCTAAAATTCGAAATACTTTTCAAATTATTCTAGGTAGCTTTGTCACTTTTTATAATTTTAATATATATGTTTTATATAATCAAGTATATAATTAGAACATTTTTATGAATATTTGAAGATCGTTTTAAAAAGATTTTAGTTTTACTTAAATATTTTATTAAGTTAATTAGTAGTTTATATTTTGAATCATTAGTTTATTAAGTTAATTATTTTATTTCGTTAAGATTAAGAAGCTCCTTAATTAATTTATGAAAATTGATCTTATTTAAGTGTTGATCAAATCCACCGACTAAATTCTAATTGAAATTCAATTGGTTATTATTCCAATTTTAGCCAATTACTTCAACCCTTTGCAAGACCCGAAATTGGGCCGCAAATCCAATTCTCTTAAAACCTTGTCAGCCAAACTTTTGACCCATTTAAAATATCAGCAACCCACCCTTTTCATTCTTTTGACCCAAGCCCAAAACCACCTCTTCTATTTCTCGAAAGACCTAGAAGCGAGAAAAACAATTCCCAAACGACAAAAGAATAGCGATACAACGTCAAAATACACGACGTCTCCTTACCTGCTCCAAACTACACCAGCGACAGCGAGCAAACGATGCCTCCAACGTTCGCCCATACACGGCGTGAACACGGAGGTAGATGGAAAAGCAACATCAACAGAAGGCAGTACGATTTCGTTGTCCCGTCCCTCTCAATAGCACTGTCGAAGCAGAGCAGGAAAAGCACGCAAATCATCCGTGATGGCGTGAGATCAAGACACGTCGGCACTCAAGGACAATGGAATTAATTTGAATCATCGATTCGCCCTATCCTCTTTCGAAATTAGGTGAAATTGTAAGGAAAATGTGTTTATCCTAAATGGTGAAAGATTTTAGAGTTTTGAATTTGGGAATAGGCCTTGAATCCAAAAAATTTCATCTGTTTTCCCCCTTTTGACGAACCCTAATTTTCCCCTATAAATTCCCCATCTCCTTCATTTGTTGAAGTTGGAGAAAGTTAGGAAGAAAAAGTCGGAAAAGTGAGGCAAGAAAAATTGAAAAGGTCGGCATCTCTTTTTACTAATGCTAAGAGATCAACTTAGAAAAAAAAATAGATTTAAGATATATATTTAAAGAAAGCATAAGGGAGAACTAATCCTAGTCTAAGATCCATTGCTCTGTTTTTGTTAGGCATAAGCTCGTTTTGAGGTCGAGATTTCGTCCATTTTCCTGTTTGTTGTTCACGTCCAGGTTCGTGCCTGTGATCGTGTGGTAGAAGTCGCCTCTGTGGCTCGTCGTTGTACCACTCCCGCTGCTCAAGAAGAGGTAAATAATTAGTGTCCCCCTTATTCTTCATTCCTACTCCAACAAGTATTGAATCATAAAATATTTTTTTGATTCCGAGATGATTTTGCATAATTTGTCTTGAGCCTAAGTTATCTTCTTCATCATTTTGTTGTTTTTTGAAATGGGTAAAATGCGTGTTTTCGTTGTCAAGTTGATTTACTGTCTGTTCAAGCATGTCTTCTTTGCTTATGGTCTTCTCGAGTTCCCTAGTCGATTATGCTCGCTTAAACTTTGGTTTATCCATTTGTTACCCGCATCGATATCGTTTTGCTGTCATACTGCTAGAACAATATGTGTGCTTTTGTCATGTGTTTAGAGGATGTTGAACACGCCATGTAGTTGTACATCTAGCTTCTAAAAAATATATAAGTTGGATTTTATTTTTTTGGGGGGCGGGGGGTCGTTTTCTTTTATAAGTGTGCTTATGAATCTGTTCGCATCCAGTTTTGAGGAAAACTTCCTTTTTGCATATCTTCTAGTCATACGATACTCACTGTCTTAGTCTTAAAAGGCGCGTTTGAGGCTTTATTGTCTTTTTATATCTACAAACGCGACTCGATTTGTCTCTATGTTATTGGAATAGTTTAAAATCTGAAAATTTCAGTTATTATCTTAGTTACCCTTCATTTCTGTATCTATTTTTGTGATACAGTGTATCTTCATGATTTGTGATTTCTATGGTGTCGTGTGAATATAGCTTTTCATTTTGGTTCAAGTTGTGATTAATGGTAGTTTTGCATAATTCTTGGTAGTGTTGAAATGTTTGGGAATAAAAAATCAGTAACATATTTAGCGGTTGGTTTACCCGTGTTCCTTTTTTTTTTCTTGTTTATTTTCTTGGTTCCACATCTACTGTTGCTAAGTTGTAGGAATCCTTAGCTATCCTTATTTTATTCAACTTGTCAGTAAGCTTGCTTTCTTCCTTATTTTGGACCTGCCAGCTGTCCGATGTATTATCCCACTCATTTACTTGTATATCTTGGCTTGAGAGTATTAAGTTGCAGCCCCCTTATACATCGTTATTGTCTTTGTGATCGTTTAATTATTAAGCTTTGGTTCAAAGATATTGTTTTTCATTGCTGATCTTTATTTTTCTTTTGTTGCATATGAAATTTATTTGAGTCCATTTGGACTTCACCCCCTCTCCTTGCATTTCGTAGATTGGGCCTGACAGGCCTAATGCTTCTCTCTATCAAGTCTAAAAATAGCCGATGAACAGGTTAAAGGCAGTACAACAAGCTGGAAATTAAATTTACAGGTTCCGAAAAGCTAAAAAACAAAGGTTGTGCAAAAAAATGGGGCAAAGCCTAGTAAGACAAATCAAAGAAAAATTGAAGGAGACAAATGGTCCAAAGCCCATCATTTTGAAAATTCTAGACTTAGGACAGGTTATTAAGCCTTGGAATTTAGGCCAAAGGTCCAAATTTGATACTTCCTTCTCCCTTATGTTTATTTGATATTATATTCACTAACTCTTTATGTAAATTAGTTTTAACTTAATTAATTCCCAAAAGATAGTCATTTCTCTTTTATGTTCAAAATATATCCATTGTTTACTTAGCTTTGTTCTATTTATTCGTCTTGTCACCTAAATTATTTCCCTTTAAAAAATTCCCTTAGTTCATTTCCCTTTAGATAATATAATAATAATAATAATAATAATAATAATAATAATAAACTTTAATTCAAGCAACTCATCAAAATATCAGAAACGTCAGAATCCAAGAAGGGGTATTCATTTTCTTGCATTTCCCTT